ATCTCCCATTCATACAAGTTACGCCTAACACAATGGATTCAAGAATAACTGGTTCCTATGTTAGAAGATTGGCCTCCCAAAGAAGTCGATTTGAATCCCGTTGAAAATATTTGGGCCGAATTAGAACTTCGATTAGCGAATCGAGTTGATCAAAATCGATTTGAATTATGGGATATATCTGACTGTGGTATTATCCGAGTTTCACAGGAGTGAAGAAGGTTGCAAGTCCAAAACAGGTTCCTCTTCACATGTCATGAATACATCCATCCTGTCTCTGGTAGCGAATGCGAAAAATGATTTCTCATTAGCCGTTTATATATACAGTGAAAACGAAAGGGGCCGGTCTGTAGGAGTGGGAAAAATCTCTCAGAGAATATCTCACTCAGAATATATAAAAAAAATCCTTTTTGATCAATTTTAATGATGTCACAAGACATCATTAAAAATGATCAAAAAGGATTACTTTATTGTCGGAACTAACACTAATTAAAAGTAACATTAATGCTCATTGTGTAAACACAAACACTAATTGTGTTTACTTTACTGCCGAAAAGATTTTACTTTAACATTTCAGAAACGCTCTCCTGTATTGGTCAACAAGGCATTTGGATGAGTAAAAAAGCGTAGTTTGTGAGCGTCGAGTGAACGCAACTGTGACTTCTAGAGTGAAATAAAAAGGGAGTTAAACCCTTCTTAAGAGTCGGTGTAATTTCCAGTTCATAGCAGTCACTACTACTATTGCTGACAAGTTGGGGGCCTCTCAACATGACAACATTATCTATTTAAATGCCGATTATTACATTTATAATATTTTAAAACCTGTTCCTCTGGATCATAGGCACCCCCCGGCATTTCATTAAATCCTCTGATCACGGAAAATAGTCTTTTATTCATGCACGATTTATCTCCCATTCATACAAGTTTACGCCTAACACAATGGATTCAAGAATAACTGGTTCCTATGTTAGAAGATTGGCCTCCCAAAGAAGCCGATTTGAATCCCGTTGAAAATATTTGGGCCGAATTAGAACTTCGATTAGCGAATCGAGTTGATCAAAATCGATTTGAATTATGGGATTTGCTACGCAATGCCTTTCATAGTTTAGAAGAAAATTATTTGGAAACATTAATTGCATCCGTGCCTCGACGTATTTCGTCTGTTATAGAGCATAGAGGTGGTTGAACGAAATACTAATATATTTATACCATTATATATTTTCTTTTTACAATAAATAACTGAGAATTTCTAATGACTAAATTTATTGACACCGTATTTCGGTAATTATTGTAGCGAAAGCATGGCAATCCATCGATGACAATGTTTCGTTCGATAATAATGGCATTTCTGCTGACCAGTTTTATAATTATTATGCATCAAGGTGCGCACATACTCGACACGTACCTTTTGATGGATCTTATCCCGACTTTGTTCATTGACAATATAAAGTCTTTCAATATGAAGTCGTTGAAGATCCATATTTAATTGACGAATCCATTCTGTATGCGGTCGATACGTTTTCCAGTCCCTTGACACAAACCGGACACTGTTGGTGATTGTGTAACCAACGGACGTGATAGCCAGCACACCTACAATTTTCGTATGCAGCTGAGTCCGTAATAATAAAGGATCCATCCTTTTCAGAATGACGATGCCGGAATGGTCGAGGGTCCATTTTTTTAAAACGATGATGCCGGGATGATGGAAGATCCATCTTTTCAGAACGCTGGGATGGTGCAGGAGGTTGGTCCATCTTTTCACAAGTTCGCTGTGGCGAAGGAATATCATAGATCCGTTTCATTTTTTAGAACGAGGTGGAGGAGAAATAGTCGGCGTTATATATGACTGTGGTATTATCCGAGTTTCACAGGAGTGAAGAAGGTTGCAAGTCCAAAACAGGTTCCTCTTCACATGTCATGAATACATCCATCCTGTCTCTGGTAGCGAATGCGAAAAATGATTTCTCATTAGCCGTTTATATATACAGTGAAAACGAAAGGGGCCGGTCTGTAGGAGTGGGAAAAATCTCTCAGAGAAATCTCACTCAGAATATATAAAAAAATCCTTTTTGATCAATTTTAATGATGTCACCAAGACCTCATTAAAAATGATAAAAGGATTACTTTATTGTCGGAACCTAACACTAATTAAAAGTAACATTAATGCTCATTGTGTAAACACAAACATTAATTGTGTTTACTTTACTGCCGAAAAGATTTTACTTTAACATTTCAGAAACGCTCTCCTGTATTGGTCAACAAGGCATTTGGATGAGTAATAAAGATCAACTGATCCTCAAACAGTTTGTATCCAAATAACCTTTTCCTTGCAAGGCAACTGGACTGATTTCGGACCGAAGCCGACATTTACGAAATACGCCCTTCATCGTTTCTTTTCAACTGGACCACCTGCTAATTCAATTCGGACCGGATGTTATTTTATTTTCCAAATGGATGCAAAATATTTTAAGTGAACGTCTGCAAGTTAATGAAGATCCTGTGACGGAAGCCTATTTTTCTTCCATACAAAATTCCATGGACTTTAAATTTCAAAATTTATATGAACTTCTTGAAAGTGCCTGTATCTTCTATACTTGATCCTATATTTTTATTTATTTATATTTTTACATTTTATTGGATATATATTTTATATGGAATAATAAAATAAAAATTTTTATTGGTATGTATTTGCGTATTTCTTTAAAAGTCCATCCAATTGGATTCGTTTCAAAACCATAACCCTATCCATTCCACACTGTCCAAGTTACTTCGAAAATGTTTTTATTTTACAGCGTAACCTGTAGAAGATGACATGATTCTTGATACATTCTAATCCGAACCCTATCCTTTCAATACTGTCCAAGTTACTTTAATACAACGCAACCTGTACAAGATGACACGACTCCTGATAGATTACCTATTAAATATTTTTTGCTAATAAGTTAGCCAAAGGCCTGAAAAAGTATTCTAAACAGCAAAACGACTTTTCTGTTATAGGGATAAGCTTTTATTTAGTGTGGATCACGAGGTTGTATTGGATCTCAAGCAATAATCTGAAATGAAAGAAGGAATGTTTATATAGGCGAAGGATGATCTCATTCTTAAATAAATTTGTAATCGGCTAGGAAAAATTTCTGTGAGAATATCTGAATCAGAATTTTTTTAAAAAAATCCTTTTTGTTCATTTTTAATGATGTCCTCTGGTATCATTAAAAATGAACTCTTTTATTTTCAACTTTGAGACAACATTTCCAAAACCTTAATCTACTTTTAGAAACACGAGTCATCCAATCTTGGAAATCTCGTCTCACAATGGTAAAAGAAAGAGTTTCTTTTTAATGATGACAGAGGACATCATTAAAAATGAACAAAAAGGATTTTTATTTAATTCTGATTCAGATATTCTCTCAGAAATTTTTCCCAGCCGGTAACAAATTTTTTTCAAAGAATAAACTCATCATTATTTACATAAACTTTGCGAGTTTCTCTTCAGATCACTACGAGCTCCGACCTAGATAAAGGTCTATACATTTCGGCAACAGAAAGATAGCTGTACCTTGTTCAAATTCCATGGTAATGGGAAGAAAGAACACATTGAATGACATATGAAATTAGTTCAGAAAGATGACTTTGTTCTTTCACCCTTCCTCTCCCGAGCCAACATGGACTGTGATGTGGATGGCCGGCTATCTTTTCATCCCTTCAGGGTCAAAATTTATTTATTATTTATTTTTTGTCTCCTCGCAATTTAACTTGTCTCCATGTCGAAAAATATACTTACCATATTATTCAAATGCATGACTTTCCTCTCGTTTTCACGTTACTCGAAAATGTGGGAAGAGATATTTGATATTTTACCCCAATTTTATACTTTATCACGTCGTTTCCTGTACAAAAAAGTGTAACAAATGCCCCTTTCAATGAGAGGAGACAATAATGATTGTGGTGTTCCATATTGTGAAGATCTTCAGAAACTTTTTAATCTATTATTAAAGCACATATCCTTAAAATTTACAATAAAAAAGTTCCTCGTCCAACCCAAGAATTTTGATTATGTTATCTAAAATTTTTTATCTTAAAGTATGGATCCTTCAGAAACTTCTTAATATGCTATTTAAAAACACATCCTTAAAATTTACAATAAAAAGCGTTCCTTGTTCAACCAAAGCATTTTGATTATGTTATCTAAAATTTGTCATCTTACAACATGAAACCTTTCAAGACCTTCAGAAACTTCTCAGCCAGTCAGTTTAATATTTTTTTTACATCTTTTTATATTTCTTCCACCCCATTTTCCCTTTTTGTTGGGTATCCTTGGTAGGTAATTATTTCACAAGACACTGTATTAAACTACATGCTACTTTACTATATACAAAGCGCATCATCCTCGCTTACACAAGTATCCTACAACAACTCGCATTCCCGTCTTAGTTCTGGTTTACATTTACTTCGCGCTTTTGCGATGCTTGGCGCTGCGCCAGCTTCACATACCTTCACCTTTATCACAACTGTAGTCTGTCTGAGGAACGTCGAATTCTACTGGACCGACGCAAAGGTTGTGACACTGCTGGTTTCTTTGGTAACCTGGTCGTATCAGCAGCAGGTCCGGTGGATGGAACATCTGGTAAAACCTTAGGCTTGGAAGACGACACAGATCCATCTACCTGTTGACAGTTATCTTTGGATGGTTCTGGAACTCCACTCTCATCAGGCTCTTTGGAAATCATGAGAGCTGGAGGTGGACGTATGAACCCCTCATCTATTAAAGTTCCTCCATCACGCATTTGACCAATATGTCATCGCCATAGCTGACCGTCTACATTTATGGCATAATGAAGCTGCCCATACTTGGATTTGGACAGTTTCAAATCTTTATTGTCTGTCACCTTGGCGGTAATTTTTTACTGCCACTTTATCCCCAACTCTAAATCCTCGGTCTGCAAACTGGTAGGTTCCTTTTCGAACTCTGTCTTCCCTCCTTTTGAGATCTGGTCTCAATAAATCTATTCTTGTTCGAATTCCCTCTTCAGCATTAGCATTGCAGGGCTCTGTAGAGTAGTTAAATTTGGAGCTTTTCTATATTGCATCAAAAATGTACTGAGTTTTTGTCTCAAAGTTCCCGGATAATTTTGCATTGTTCTTAAAGATTGTTTTACTGTAAACACATACCGTTCAGCCTGCCCATTACTAGATGGTTTAAATGGTGCTGTAGTTTTGTGTTTGATTCCGTTACTCTGCAGAAATATCTTCAACTCATGTGAAGTGAATTGTGGCCCGTTATCAGTCACTAACAATATTGGTAATCCGAATCGTGCAAAAAAGTCCCGCAAACATTCTATTGTTTCAAAAGTTGAGCTTGATTTCATTGGATAGGCTTCTAGCCATTTTGAGTGAGCATCGACGATTATCGAAAACATATGATAAAAAAAGGTCCTGCATAATGGATGTGAATACGTTCCATTGGAGCGCTTGGGTACTCCCAATGATGAACTTTTACCTTAGGAGGATGTATTTTATGTTTTGCGCATTCAGAACAGTTTTTAGCAGTACGTTCGATATCTTTATCTACACCATTCCAAAACACTTAAGATCTAGCAATTGCTTTCAACTTTACAGTACCTAAGTATCTATGGTGAAACTCTTTCAAAACATTCTCACGGTATCGTTTTAGAAGACAAACGCGTTGACTATACATTATACAACCATCTTAGAGACTGTACTCTACCTTCCTTCCTTTCAATTCACCTCCGCTTCGAAGTTTTCATAGCAGAGGACTGAGTTCTGCATCAATTTCAATTTCTTTAGCCAAATCACTGGCAGTGATTGGAAGAGTTTCAATTTAGCCCACTTATGGCTAAAGACTCAGGGCTAAAACTTGCATGAAAAAAAGACTTTGCACGGCAATCATTAGGCCCATTATCATGTACGCCTTCCCGGCATGGGCGAGTGCTAAAATCTGACATTCAAAAACTGCAAATCCTTCAGAATAAAATCTTGCGCGTAATCACTAATGCCCCATTCTACATAAGAAATGAAAATTTGCATAAGGACTTAAAAATCGACTATGTGACGGATCATTTGGCAAAGCTTAATGGCAACTTCTAACGACTTTCTGACTCTGCATGCTTTTACCTACTTCAGTATCATGGCAATTCTTATAGAATTAACCATATTTTTTCGAACATTTTAAGGGGTAATATTCGACATTCCTCACAATAATTCATGAATTATCATTGATTTTCTACTTCACGACATGCTTTGCATCATCTATCACGAGGCTGATTGGCTCCCTCTCTGGACTGACCCCGCCTTCTCCAGCTTTATCAATCACTACAAGATTGCAGCTTCTAAGCAAGATTCACTACAAGATTCACTAAGTCATTACAAGATTGCAGCAGACAGATAAAGAATAGGCACTGCTGCCTATCTTTTATCCTTCTTTGCTCCTCCTTACGTCGGATATTATATGAAGATAGTCTTATGTTATGGCGCCCATCTAGTATGAATTTGATTGAGTTGACTGATCTCAGTGGTATTCTGGCGATATGTTATCATTCAGTCAGTTAGCTTTCAACGCTAGATTCACATGGCAATCGTGCCAGTACTTTTTTCTAGAATTTTATACATCCTTCCATGGAGATCAGTCAGGGAAATTTTTCAATGTTAGGCTCCGCTTGAAACCCACTTATTTATCTGGGAAGTATCACTCAAGCGATAGAACCCCAGAATAAGCACCGTATATCGCAGTATTCCCTAGTTTGTCCTCCGAACCCACCCTGAGCATTCAACTCACTGCATCGCTCGTAGTAGCACCTTATGTGACGACAGCCGGAACAAAGCGAGCAAATTTTCAAGCTACTCGTGGTTTAATATTGGAACTGGAACTGGAACAGCGGAGCTAGTCGACACATTGAACTGACTCCGCTAGCTCAAATAAACCCCAGTGGGATCCGGCTCACGGAGCAGCATCACGTTCATTTACCAGAGCTTAATAGACAAGCCTATTGTAAATTTATAATTAAACAAAAATATCTTGTGGAAAAAATAACAAAAATCATGGACAAACTATCTGCGTTAGGCACGATCTTTACCAAATAGCTTAGTAACACTGACATGTCATGTTAATTATGTGCTTGAAAGACACTGCAAGTGAATACACTATCAATCGTGTATTTGCGTGAATAATAATAAAAGTCATGCAAATATCATCTGCCTTAGGCTTGATCAGTGCCAAACTGTTCAAAATTGCTGAATATGTGCTTACATGCTTGAGAATAACATTTGTGAATTACTGCATAATATGTGTAATATTTATCAGATTACTAGCAGTAGCACTGCATAATTATATTGTAAGTATAATAATGTAAATTGGGTAATAGATTGTAATGCATAATAGGTAATGCATTTAGTATTGTAATGTATAATAATTTATAATGGTAATGTTTCTATACTCATCGAAAACATTGTAAAGTCTATGTGTGTATGCATAATTATTGTAATGTATGTGTTTATGTGAGTATCGTTTGCTTCATTTATTGTTGCAAACAGCGTAAATTCCTTTGTTTTTTCTTCTTTAGTTTGAACTTTATGTGTGGCAACAAGATAATTGATTGATAGAATTGTGTTTGTGACAGCCATGTAGAATGGCTCGCTTATTTTGTATCAATTATTTCGCATCGCTGACAAGTGTAATTTAATAAAAGTGTAGGAATACAGTCCATTTGTTGATTGATTTAGTTTGTGAAACATATTAATTTAATAGAACACATATTGTTGGTCAAAAGTCTAGCCGGAGAGCTAGTGAAGATAGTGACTGTTCTAAGTGTATTCTAACAACGCAAATATGCATATGGTTTGTGAAAATTATCCACTTTGTGAGGTAAGTGGATTTTGAACAAAAATTCGTTTAATTTGTTGTTAAATTTTAAGAACAATGTTGTAATACAACATAGAATTCGATTTCATTTTAATAATAGTGTTAAGTGATTTAAGAACAATTTCTGTTTTTGAATTGATCAATTATGAGTGAACTTATAACTTTTAAAACAAAAAGAGCGGTCTTACGCAGGAGTGTTACTAATTATGTAAAGAAAATTGAAACTATTTTAACTGCAGATGAAATTAATTTAATAGAACTAGAGGAATGTGTCGAATTATTGAACAAAAAGAAAACTGAGTTAAGGAAGCTTGATTCTGAAATCGAAAGTTTAATTACAGATACTAAAGAATTAGAAAACGAAATAGATAATGTTCAGGAGTACACAGATAAAATTTATTTGTGGAAATTTAAAGGTGAAAAAATATTAAAAAATCAAAATAATAAAAATAATTCTAATAGTGTAATTTCAGAACAGGTTCTTGACAATATTAAATTACCCAAGTTAACATTACCGACTTTTGGTGGTAATATTACAGAATGGATAGCTTTTAAAGATCTTTTCAGTGCTTGTGTAAGAAAAATAATACAAATTTATCTAATGCTCAAAAATTGCAGTATTTGAAGGCTTCGTTGAAAGGTGAAGCATATCGCATTATTCAAACCATTCAAATTTCGGATTGTAATTTTGAAATAGCATGGAATCTGTTAGACGAAAGATATTCAAATAAGAGAGAACAAATTTTTGCATATATTAAACGTTTTTTAAGTTTACCAACTATTCAAAATGAATCAGCATTTGCTATTTTAAATTTAGTTGACAATATTAATGAAGTAATTCGTTCTTTAGAAGTATTGAATCAAACCATTGATAATTTTGGTGACACTTTAATGACTTATTTAATTTTGCAAAAATTAGACCTTCTACAAAATTATGGTGGGAACGTAAGTTAAGATCTAATGAAATTCCAAAACTTACGACTTTAATTGAATTCCTAAAAAACTATGCAAGAACACTTCAAAATAGCAAATCAACAAGTAATAAGGTACCTAAATCTGTGTTTCAAAATAAGAATAATGTTCTGGTTGCTACTTTGGGTTGTGGTTATTGTAAAGAAGATCATAGTTTAGCCAAATGTTCGAAATTTCTAAATTTATCGGTTCAGCAAAGGATAGAATTTGTAAAATCTAATCGTTACTGTTTTAATTGTTTATCTAATATGCACTTGCTCAAAAAATGCAAGAGTTTAAATACATGTCAACATTGCTTTAAGAAGCATCACAGTATTTTGCACATTGTAAATAATTCAAAGAATAAAACTCAGTTAAACAGTATATCTCCGCCTACGCAATCTATCATTAAAAGAGATGAATTAACGAGTCCTAAGGACGTTTCAGCCACAGTTTGTGCCTCTCATTATGATTCGAATGCAAAAGGTAATCAAACCAGTCACATTTTATTGTGTACTGCTTTAATAAAAGTTCAAAATTCTAAGCAACAATTTGTGAAGTGTAGATGTTTATGTGACACTGGATCTCAGAGATCATTTATTTCAAGGGATTGTGTGAAGAAATTAGGATTACGAGTGAAAGATAATTCCATTTCTGTATCATGTTTAGGAGAATTTAATACTATAAGTAATGGGGAAGTCGATTTAGTATTCACTTCTCATTTTAAAAGTGATATTCGTGTATCAACATCAGCGTTTGTACTGGACAAGGTGACAGATAACATTCCCTATGTATCTTTGCCATCAATCATCTTCGATAACTTCAGTGATTTACAATTAGCTGATCCATTATTTTACAAGTCACAACCAGTTGACATTTTATTTGGAGTAAATGTATTTCTGCATTTAATGACGGGAGAAATTGTCAAACGTGGTCCTGATCTACCATTTGCTCTAAATTCGAGGTTGGGATGGATAATTTCGGGTACTACAAATTTTGAATCTACAAATTTTGAGCCAGTATATGTAAATCATTTGAATACAAACACAGATGAGTTAGTAAATTCTTTCTGGGAGTTAGAAAAGTTTCCAAATGTACAACCTTTAACAAATGAAGAAAAACTTTGTGAAGAACATTTTAAAAACTCGCATTTTAGAGACACATCAGGTCGTTATTCAGTTGCATTACCATTCAAACATAATAGAGATATTCTAGGTGACTCCCGTGAAATGGCGTACAGAAGATTTCAATACTTGGAGAAGAGGCTGTTATCTATGAAAGAAATTTACAACCAGTATATTCAGTTTATGAAAGAGTACTTTTCACTAGAACACGTAGAATTAGTGCCAGACACAGATTATGAATTAGAGAATAAACACTATTATATCCCACATCACTTCGTGTTGAAGGACTCTAGCTTAACAACAAAATTGAGAGTTGTTTTCGATGCGAGCGCTAAAACAACCACAGGTGTTTCTTTAAATGATACGTTAATGATAGGCCCAAAAAATATAAGATGACTTAATTTGTATTTTACTAAGATTTAGACTTCATAACATTGCAATAACCGCTGATATTAAAATGATGTAC